CCACCCATTGACGATTCCAACTCACACAGGAGGACAATGATGAACTTCGTGCCGTACCCAAAGCCTTTAATATCAAGTATCAAGACGTACGCAACCGAGTTCGCAAACGCGCCCAAGCGATCGCTACTCTGGCCCATTGCCCGTTAGAATCAATCAACGCATGGATGGACCGCCTGAAGGAGCGCGGATGGCACGTCTATTCTGACATCCGTTTCACCCATAAACGTGTTCAATTCGGATTTTTCTCACCCTGGCAGCGTAAAATGCTTCAGCAACACGGCAGCAACGTCATTTGTTTCGACACTACGTACAACGTTTGCAAGCCATTAGAGGTCCAAGGATGGCCCAAGGTGAAACTGCTGTTGACAACATTAGTCGTCCGCAACGCTGCCACCGGCAGCGGGACACCCGTTGCGTGGTTCTTCTGCTCGGATGAACTGGCGTGAGTCCTTTCACTCCTCTGCAGCTGCCAATACAACTCACACGTTCTCTCAGTTCGTCTTTCACACGATTCTTTACGTGGCTGAAAGACTCATATCAGGTCGTCCCTACCGCCTTCATGACTGATTGCGCGCAGGCCTTCAAAAAAGCCCTTTGCGACACCTACTCCATCTTCCGCGTCCACCCAAACACTATTTCTGCTTGTTTCACGTCTCTCGTGCCATGCGTGCTAAAGCGGACAAATTGGTAGGCATCACCTTAAACATTCATTGCAATCAGTCGCCAACCTATGCGCTACTTCCCAACAGCTACCCGAAACCCCAGCGCGCGAAATGCACATGGAAGCAATGGAAGTTATCCATGCCACGCGGTGGCAGGATCGATGGCAACGGTTCAAACGCGACTACCGCACCACCTGCCCTGCCTTTGTCGAGTATTTCCAAACCCAATGGATCAACCAAGCCAAAAACTGCATGTTATCTGAGAGGATGGTACCCATGCAAGGCATTCATACCAACAATTACAACAAGTCCTGGCATCGTGTTTTCAAATTTCACTTCATCTCCCAAACCAAGGTCTTCCGCATTGACATCATCATCCACATCTTAGCCGACGATGTAGAACCTGACTACCGTCAGCTCCTTATCACCACCACGCTCGGTTTTCGCAAGCAACGCACGTCTAAATTCCAAAACTACGCCAAAGGGCTCGCCGACAGCTACACGGACAAAGACCTCGCTAGCCTCGGTGTAATGGTCACTAAAAACTCACCCACAGACGTAAGCCTTCCCAATCTTCACAACAGTCGCCGCGTACTTACAGTCGTTTCAGTGGAGCATTACTAGCTTCACTCGCCCTCGGTTTACCAGCTATTCAATAACCGTAACACCAGGCGAACGCGGCCGCATCGGTAACGTCAATAACTGCACGTGCCAATACTACCGCCAGCATAAGAGCGCCTGCAAACACATGTATGTTATCGCTCGCCAGGAGAAATTCCACATCTGCGAGACTGCT